TTTTCTGACTCCCTGGCCTCTTTTTTTATCCTCTGATCCTCTGGAGCTTTTTTTTTCTAAAACAAGCTCCTTTCCATCCATACCACAGGAGGCCCCTGACAGTGGCTTGGGCTCCTGCTCAGCTCCCTCTCTGCAGAGAGTCTCCTGCCTAGTTCTTCCAAATACTTCTCTTCTGAAGCAAGTGCCAAGAAGAATGGGGTCCAGAGGAAAGAGAATTGGAGCAGCTGAGAAAGGGCAAAGATGAGCAAGGAAAAGGAAGATCTGGGATTGAAAGAAAAGGGAAAGATAAAGAGATAATAAGAAGAGGGATGACATTAAACTTGTCCAAAGAACAGCGATGTCATAGCCCAGTGCCTCTCCTCACTGCCCGGGCTGGCCAAAGCATTCCCTTTCTTTCATAAAGATTTCCCTGTGTTTCCAGCTACAAATGAAGCTTCTGTTCTGCATTCTACTGTACTTCCTCTACCCTTCCCTATGGCATGGATCACTTTCTGTCTGATATTACAGATGTTGTAGACAGACTTGGAGGTCAGGGAGTTGTCATTTATATTTCTGTAAATCTTTCACAGCACAGAGTATAACTTTCGAAAAGTCAAAAATGTGATATCATCTCAATTGCTGCAGTTTAAATGTGTCCTCTCCAAAATCCAGGTGTTGCCAATGTGATTGTATTGAAAGGTGAGGTCTTTAAGAGGTGATCAGACCATTGCAACTTTTTCCTCATGAGTGGGAATAAGGCCCTTATAAAAGACGCTCCAGCTGTGCTTGGCTGGCTTGCTCTTCTGCCCCATAAGAACATGGCATTCATTCTCTCTTGCCTATCTACTTCAGCCATGTGAGAACAGAGCAAGAAGGCCCACACCAGATGCCAATGCTTTGATCTTGGACTTCCTAGACCCCTGAAAGGGTAGAAATAAAATTCTGGTTTTTGTAAAGTACCTACCTTGTCTGTGGTCTTCTGTTACAGCAGCACAAATACATTAAAACACCAATCTAGAATAAATGTCTGTCAAAGATAGATTTCATTATGAACAAGGGAACATATAATAGTAATGCCAGTTCAAAAGCATTTTTAAGAATTGGATACTTCTAGAAATTTTTTGGAAACAGACTGTTAGAATATGATTGCTAGGTTATATAGAATATTGTTTAATGTTCCACAGAGCAATGGAACCACAGCTTCTCTAATGACAGAAATCTACAGGTAACATTGCAGAGTCTGGGCTCTAATCAGTAAGCAGAAATGTCAAACAGATTGATTCTCCCAGAGATTTGAAAATCCTGGCAGGTCATGGTGTGACAATGGAAAGCATGCGGTCAGTCACCCCTTTTTTCCAAGTTTGGGATGATGTTTCTTCACATAAGTGTTCAATAAATGTTTAGTGAATGACTACATGAATAATAAAGGAATCTAAAATCATATCCTATAAGTAAACAGAGCTTTTCTGTTTCTAATTCTCATGATCTGTTCAGTGTAACACTTGGGCCCTTTATTGAACTGTGGAAATTTGAAAGAAGCAGGCCCATTGATATGAGAATGGCTTTTCCTATGGTATGACTAAATATGACTTATATTTTAATAAAGTCTCAGGTCACATGTGTGGCATGAAAATACAGCATTTAATGCTGTTGTCAAAGTCACGTGAATATAGTTCTATTAAAAGTCAGAGTGTATTTAATGTAATTGCATGCAGGCCTCAGCTTTCCTCCCCACTACATCTCCTGTTTTATTAAAAATAAAACTTTCTATGTAACCAAAATATTAAATCGGTGCTGTAATATTAGCTGTTACCCAAATCTAAATTGACTCTGGATCATTTTGCATGGTTAATGGCTTACAAAAAGTAACGTAGTTAAAATCCAGATCTCACATAAATAGTAAAGTCCAATTTAATGGCAACAAGCTAGGAAAGTTTTTAAATGACCATTTAAGAAACATTTCGCTAAGTCCTTGTTTTACTCCTCCACCTCCAGTTCAGTGCTAAGTGGCCAGAGCTTAGCTCAGCTCAGTGCAGAATGAAAATGTTCAAAAGTCACCCTCACACGTCCATTCAGAGGCCTATGACTCTGCCTCCTGGTTGACAATGTGTGCTGGTGAGGGTGGCATGATTACCCTCCTGGGTGCCCTGCACTACATCCAGAATGTAGCCTGGTCTCTGGTATTCCATGGGGTGGGGGTCACTGAGCAAGCCTGCTGGGACCTGTGGCCACGGGGTCTTTTTCTCCAGCTCTCTTTTCCTAGGTGTGCCTCTTCCGTTCCCCAGGATCACTGTCATGCTGCAAGGCTCAGCCAGCCCCGGAACACAGGTGAATTCCTTCTGCTTAATCTTTCAAGGTCACAGACATCTTTGAGAATCTGTAGAAAGTTAACTCTAGGTTCCTTCACCTGCAAGCATACAGGTATATGCTTCCCCTTTTCAATATAATCTAGAGGTTTGAGGTAATGAAACTCTGTGAGGGTTATTTGGAACCTGTAAGAGCCTTACAAGAGTGACACATGTTCCTTTCAAGTATTTGCACACAGACAAGCCTTCCCTGGTCAAAGAAAGTATCTCTCTTTGAAGATACTTTGGATAAACATAAAGAGGTGAGCTTGGAAATGGGGGTAATGACAAGATCAGTTACCCCGCTGGCATGTGAGGCTATCTCTGGGAGCCACCTTTTCTACAGGATGGGTCAAGCCCCTGAGAACCTTTCTTCCCAGGGGAGTACTGGAACAGCTTATGTGCCAGGTCCCCCCTGCTCCTTGCTTCCATGTGCCAGGTCCACCAGCTCTCCATCCCATCTCTGATCTTCTGTGCAGTGGACTCCACTAGTCAATTAGGCACATGTGTGTGCAGGTGTGATTCCTTCCTGAAGATTGCTCTCTTTTTTTGCCCACTTAGATGCACACAGTGATTTCATCCAGTCTTTTGTGTATGAATTGAAACTCAAGCCAGTACAAAGCAAGCAGAGACCCAGAACTAAGGGATCACCAGCTTAGCAGAAGTCCAGGGCTGTTCAGGGTGTGAACAGGGAGATAAGTTTAGAGAGGTAGATTGAGGCACTAAGGCAGTGGCCCTCAAATGCTGACTGCAGCTTGTGCTAATGGAGGTAAGATAAGACATCACTGGTAAAGTGAATTATCACCTATTTTACATCTGTTTTGCATGTTCTGATTTTTGTAGATTAGCCTCTGCACCAGACTTTCTCGGCTTCTCTCAAAATAGTAACAGCTATATTGTATTGCTGCCCAAGCCACAGGCATGCCCAGCCTCCCTTGCAGCTACTCATGGCCATGGATGAATGCTCTAGCTTAGAAGATGCATGAGCAATGCCTGTGATGCCCTTAGAGCAGAGCCCTCATGCCATTCTCTCTGAAGAGCTCAGCCAATGCAGCTCAAGCTCCAGCTCTGTTCTGGAATGTGAGGATGGGGACTGGGCTGAGTGTGACAGGGTAGGTCCCTGGCAAATTCATAGACCCACCAACACAGCCCTGGGCTGGCTACCTCATCCCCTGCTTGATTTCTTTTATGAGTAACAGAAATCAATATCTATCATGCTGAGGCCACAGTTATTCAGGGTTCTTGATTATGTACGGAATCCTATAAATACAGCGTATCTGCCTCTCATCTATTTACCTTATTTCTTTTGTCATCCTTTTTTTTTTTTTAGGGTACAGGGTCTTGTCCCATTGCCCAGGCTGGAGTGCAGCAGCATGATCACAGCTCACTGCGGCCTGGAACTCCTGGGCTCAAGCGACCCTCCTGCCTCAGCCTCCTGAGTAGTCGTATTTTGCTTAAACGCCTCTTCCAAAACAATTCATTAGGTTTTGGATTTCTCAACTATATCTTGAAACATCTTCAGCTTCCTTTATTCACTTTCAATTTTTCTTACATTGCACATTGAACATTCTCAATACAGATAAATTAAAGGAACGAATAAGTACTTGTCCTTTGGAGACTGTGGCTGTATTTTCCCTTGTTTAGGAACATGGAGTCTACAAACACAGGAGAGTTGGAAGTGAGAGTTGGAAGACACCACCGCAGAGTTCATTTACTTCAATTTCCACCTAATAAAAGAAAAAAATCTCCATTTACTAACATTTCCCGTCACATTACAGCTCTACCCTTTCTTCCTTGTTTTCACTCCCAGACCCAATAAATATGTCTTTCACAACACTTGGAAAACTTTGCCCCAAACAGCTTAAACCACATCCTCCCTCCCTTCAGATCCACCCAAAGAGGTGATTGCTTCCAGGAGACTTTCCTTTGGCTATAAAACAGAGAAAGGCTAGCATTCCATGCTCATCCCACATCCGCGATTTAGAGTTTTGTGGGAATCAATGATTCTGCTGCCACCATTCCCAGCAAGGGCACACGTTCTGAATGTGAATGGTGGCTGTGTGGCCTTAGTAGCTTAGATCCTCTCCCCCTAGGGCCCAGGGTATGTCCCCTGCCCTTGAGCTGCTCCTCTATGGGTGGGAACATAGGGGACTGGCAGGGAGAGGTACCAGCCTCCTGGAGGGGTTAACTCCACACACATCCCCAGGAAAGATCGGAAGCACCAACTTTAGCACCCTGCCTCACCCGATTCATTCATCCACAGCCTCAATTGAGGTTCCATACCCACCATTCACTGAAACCCGTGTCTAGTTCACCACCAATCCCACACTCTAACTTCAGGACACTGCTCCCTTCTCTTCAGACTCCTGGCCTCCGGCAGGGCCCCGCCCCTCAGTCTTTTTGGAAGCCTACCCCCGCCCCCTCCACCCCCCGGGCTCCTGACACAGCACACATCCCGTCTTTCTCCTGCATCGGTCACTATTCCTTAGTCTCCTGTGCTGGCCTCTCCTTGACATGACTTTAAAGGTTTTAGGTGGGAGACCCTTGTGGCTGGAACCAGGCCTTTCTTCCTCTAAGGGAGCTCACCCAGTTTCCTAGGCTTCAAAGGCGTCTGTGTTGATAACTCCCAAATTTATTTTCCAGTCCCTCCACTGAGCTCTCAACTGAAACTCCTACCTCCTGCCTGCGTCCAGCTTTGTCCCCTGCCACCACCCAAACCTGCTGCTCCTTTCCGTTTAAGGCAGCAGCTCTCATCCTCTCGCGTGGCTCTATGGCCCAGGAACCCGCTTTTCTTTCTCCTTTTCTCATCTCCTGTCTCTCCTACCTCGGAACCTCTCTCCAGTCTGTCCATGTCCCTCTATCCACTTAACCTCCATCCTCCTTAGGCTAAGTCACCCCCCTCGGCCCAAATAATCGCGAGCACCTCATTCATGCCCCTCCATGTGCCTTCTGCTGTCTCTTCTCCATACAGCATCCAAACCGAGGGCCTAAAATGCCAGTCACATTACATCACACCAACTGAGAGCCAGCATAGCCTTCTTCCTGCTCAGCGCCAAACTCCCAAATGCCTCACGATGGCCTCCAGAGGCCCTGCCCCGTGGCACGGATCCTACCTGATCTAGCCCCGCCACCCCACATGACCCTCCAGCCACACTGACCTCCTTGCTGTGCCCACCAATGCCAAGCTCTCTCCTATTCCTGGAGGTTGCCCCTGCATTTCCTCTGCATCCCAGTCCCCATTCTTCATGGGACTAGTTCGTCCTTATCCCAGTCTCAGATCACACTGACTTCTCAGAGACAACTCCCCAACCCAGTGTGTCAGTAGATGGAACGCCACTATTCTTTTCATCTCACCACCTTATTTATTTCCTTCACAACCACTCATCACACTTAAGAAAACTGTGTTGTTCATGTGTCTGCCTTCCACCCTGCAGCGTGTAAGCTCCAGGAGGCAGGGCCTCATGTACCTCCTCCTGGTGCATCTCCTGCATCCCCAGTGCCTAGTGGATGCACATCCTTGTTTGCTGAATAAATGAAAGCCCAGGGGAATATTACCTTTTTCTTTTGAGACAGGGTCTTGCTCTGTCTCCCAGGCACAATCATAGCTCACTGCAGCCTCGACCTGCTGGGCTTGAGCAATCCTCCCACCTCAGCAGCCCAAGTAGCTGGAACTCTAGGTGCATGCCACCATGCCAAGCTAATTATTATTATTGCTATTTGTAGAGACAAGGTCTTACCATGTTGCCCAGGCTGGCCTCGAACTTCTGAGCTCAAGTGACCGTCCTTCCTCAGCATCCCAAAATGCTAGGATTACAGATGTGAGCCACCACACCAGACTGGGATATTAGTTCCAAGGAGTTTATGAATTGCTCACTATGTGCCAACCTCTATGCTAGTCCCTTTCAATATACACTATCTCCTTGAATCGCCCAAAGTAGGGTTACTTATCCCCATTCTAGGGTTGTGGAAACTGAGGCGTGGAGGTCACTGACTTGCCTCTGCTCGCCTAACTGGCTTCGGGGCAGAACTGAACTGAGTCCCAGATTTGTTTTGTTCTGCTACACTGACTGTCAGCAGTGAGAACAGAGCATTTTAATAGAAACGCTGGGCCTATTTTAGTCTTCCTTATTGTTTAAAAACAGCAGATGATCTAAGACAAAGCCCTCACCTGGAGAGACTCTTCAATGACCTCTTTTCCAGAGCTGCTTTTAGGTGGTTGCAACCGGTCACAAAATCCTGCGGCAGTCCTCGCTCTCAGGACAAGTCTTTTTTGTAGCGGTGTGTTATCTGCCTCCAACCGGCAAAAGCTAATGGAGGGCAGGTGGACCTGGGTGTGCTGCGTTTGGAGGAGCCTTGAAAGCCAGCACCACCGCCTTCCTTTCATTCTGAATGCTGTTGACCAAAGCCTGCCAGGTGGGGAGGGGAGACCCATGGACCAGAGTGCTCCCTCCTTCATGGTCTGTTCTACCCAGTTAGATTTGCATGTGTGAGGCCTAAAATGAAAAAAAAAAAAAAAAAAAAAAAAAAAAAAAAGGAAGGTGAGTGATCCCGGATCCTAGAAACTGAGCAAATGGATGGATTCTGTGGTAGCTGCAAAGACAGGTACAGCCTACCAGAAACCAAGGGGCTTTTGAACACTGAGGGTAAGTACAGCTCAAAGGATTTCCAAAACTAAACACACCAGTGTTCATCCAAATCAAGTGACAAACTGTTACGGGTGCTTCCAGGGTCCTGCCTGGGCCCTTCAGTCACCTCGACCCCCAGTCCCTAATGTTCACCACTTCCCTGACCCCTGACCTCTGACCCCAGAGAGTCAGTTTGCCTGTTTCTGCGCTATGTAAATGTAGCCACGTAGACTGTATCCTTTTGTGCCAAGTTTCTTTCTTCTATTTTCTGAAAGCATTTGTTCATATTGTGAGTTGTCTATTGCGTTTCACTGTGGGCAGACACCACAATTTGTCTGTTAGCTGTCTGGTTTTAATACACTTCTGATTAGTGTCCCTTTCTAGGCTGGATAGAAACCAAATATAGTTTAATGTAGCCACCTCTTTAAAAGTTGGGGCCACTCCGTAAATTGTCTTTTATGCAACTAATATCTAGGAAACATTCTCTCTCCTTCTTTATCATTTTCTTTTATGTAGATATATTTATAGTACTATTTAGGCTGTGATCAGCCTTCACCGTGTATGGTTCTGGAAGAGGTACTGGGCCAAGCCCTAGAAAGAAGAGATTCTGCAGCTGAATGTTATCATGGATGAATCCATTCCAATGACATGGAATTAGTAATACCTGCCCTGCCTCCTCCCAGCCCTTCTGAGGATCAAGTAGATATTACAAAACTGTTAACACTGCATGATACAGTTTCATAAAAAAGAGACACACATGTATTCTATTTGGGCAAAAAAAAAAAGACTATAGTAAAATACACCTCTGTGAGTAATAATGTTATAATAGAATTTTTCTTATTTTTTGCATTTTATAAAATACGTATATTCAACATGGAAAATGCTTTACTTTTAAAATAGGAAATATGCCATCAAAGTCAAATAATATCTCTAGAAGAGCATTGAGATCTATAAATTACAAAATACCTGAAAGCTATTATATATTGCTTGATAAGCTCATAAGGAAGGCTGACTTTTTAAAAAACAGAATTTTTCTTTTTTATAATATATTTGGCAATGCTAGAACAGAAACAGCTCCTGCTGAAAGATTAAAAGAAAAATAGCCGGGCGCGGTTGCTCAAGTCTGTAATCCCAGCACTTTGGGAGGCCGAGGCGGGTGGATCACGAGGTCAAGAGATCAAGACCATCCTGGTAAACATGGTGAAACCCCGTCTCTACTAAAAATACAAAAAATTAGCTGGGCATGGTGGCGCGTGCCTGTAATCCCAGCTACTCAGGAGGCTGAGGCAAGAGAATTGCCTGAACCCAGGAGGCGGAGGTTGCGGTGAGCCGAGATCACGCCATTGCACTCCAGCCTGGGTAACAAGAGCGAAACTCCGTCTCAAAAAAAAAAAAAAAAAAAAGAAAAGAAAGAAAAAGAAAGTGCTTCATAGTTCAGGCTGCCAAGATATAAATGGAGTCTGCAATTCCTCACATTACCTCTCTTAACAAGCAGGTGGTTGTTGAGCGTGAGGGTTACCTGTCTGAGAAGTTCCTGTGGGCTGTGCTGTTTTACCCTCTGGGTGGTTCTCGGTAGACACCTGTTCTTAGGCATCATGATGATATGGGAACAAAATAAGGTCTCCTAGAAAAAGCAGAGTGGACACAAGTCACGCCTTGAATTGGAGGTGAGTACATCTAACAATGGGTGGAAAACTTCCCATCTCAGTAGATAACTCAGAACAAAAGAACAGTCTGTCTCTAGGGCTTGACAAGCCCAGTTTCCACTGTCCTTTACTTGGAAAATCCAAGTGAAGTCTGTAAAAAGGGGGGACTTTATTGAAATTTTTATGGCTATGATTTTCAACCTAAGAAGCCCTTTATTATTCCCAAAGGTCCACTTTTAAAATAATAATTGTTTAAACATAGTGTGGCTTGTATGATGGCAGCGTGTATGTCATCTGGGAGCTCCTCAGAAACACAGAATCTTAGACCCTGCCTCAAACCTCAAACTGACTGGATCAGAATTTGTATTTTAAGAAGATCACCAGTGGATGCATAAAATTTGAAAATCCCTTCCCAATAATAAAATTTAGGAAAAAATAGGAAAGGGAGAGAGAAGGACAGTTTTTGTGTGTGTATTAGTTCATTATCACACTGCTATAAAGAACTACCTGAGATTAGATAATTTACAAAGGAAAGGGGTTTAATTGACTCACAGTTCCACATGGCTAGGGAGGCCTCAGGAAACTTACAGTCATGGCTGAAGGCAAAAGGGGAAGTAAATACATCTTACCATGGCAAAGCAGGAGAGAGAGAGAGAGAACTAGCAAAGGGGGAAGTGCCACATTTCTAAACCATCAGATCCAGATCTTATGAGAACTCACTCACTATCATGAGAACAGCATGGGGGAAATCTGTCCCCATGATCCAATCACCTGCCACCAGGATCCTCCCCTGAGGTGTGGGGATTACAAATCTACATGAGATTTGAGTGGGGACACAAATCCAAACCATATCAGTGTTTGCCTCCTGTTTTTCTCCCATTCATTGATTTCTTTTTAAGTAGTCATCATCACACTGTTGTACAGTTTTGTAGCTTGCTCTTCACTTCACCTCATCATAAGCATCTTTCTGTTATCACATCCTTTTTCATAAACATTTCAAATAGTTGCCCAATAGTCCATTAAGCAGATGTTCTCTGGTTAATTATATTTAATTACTTCTAGTGAGATGCTTGGGTGATTTAATTTTTTTATATTGGAAGTAAATTAGCAATAAAAAAACTTTGTGTCTAGGAATTTACATATTTAGGATTTCTTTTTTCTTGGAGAGTTCCCAGAATAAAATGTTTAAAAGTAAAGCTTTCTTCTTTATTATAAAACAAATACATTCTTATTACAAAAAGTTATTAAAATCTGAGGCTACAAATTTTTTTATGTGATAAATTTGCATAAAGCTACGCAGAGATGAATAGGTGTGTGGAAAAACTGATGAAATCTGAGAAAGGTCTGTAGTCAAGCTAATAGCATTGCACTGATGTCAACCTTCTGGTTTTGATGCTGTACAATGTTACGTTTCTGAACGCATTCATCCATACTGTTGTGGGTAGTTGGAGTGTCATTGTTCTCATTAGACTTCCTTATTCCA